ATGATAAATCTTCCACCAGTTTTACATGTATTTATGGAAAAATGAAACAGGATCTCAGATCATTTTTAGGAAACCAGTAAGTACAGGGAGCCTTCTTTGAAAGACCTCCACCCTCTCTCTAGACACTTAGACAAATACATCTTGAAAGAACCTTGATGTCATTTGGTCCCTCCTTCTGCCCTTAAAGAATCATCTCTGTTTAAGCCATCTCAAACAATTAAAACATTTAATGTCTTTGTTTAAATATTAGTTAGAACAAAAGCTGTTGAAATAATTATAACAAAAGGTGTTAAAACAGTGTAAAACAGTATTATCAAACTCATTGGGAGGACAACGTGGGGAAGGACTGTGCCTCCTCTCAGAACCAAAGTGATCCATAATACTTGGTGGATCAAGTATTCTGAGTAGAAGCAAGCTATAGCCCACTCCTGGAATGAACCATGGGGAACACTGAGAAATTTTCTGCTCCTGGGGCCTTTACCTGCAGTGTGAGCTAGAATATTGTTTTTTATCCATACGCTCATTCTGTAGCTACTGGTGTTTTAAAAGTGCCTTGGGTCTACCATCATCCTAGTACATCTGGTACAACTTTTCCTCATGAATGACTGTTAAATTCTCCAGGAAAGGAGCTGCAACAAAAATAAATCCTATGCATCTTTTTGGCATGCGTGCACATGAAGCCTATTGTTAAGCTAAGGCCTTTGATGTCAATGGCAGATTAAATTCCTGTGTAGGCCTCATACATTCCAAGGAAAGTCTACTGTTTTCCTGTTCTTGTGGTTCTGTGTCGTTGCTCTGATAACATAAACCTTCGGCTGGATTAATCTTTTGTGTATTATGATGCCAAAGATTTTTCCCAAGGTTTGCTGTGAATGTTCCATTTTCTTATTTATCTTACTTTTTATTTATCATTTGGAAATTTAGATTTGTATAGATGGCTTTAAGTTTTAGCTGTTAATGCTCTTTTAAGAAATTGCCTTGAAATATCAAACACACACATGAATGCATTGGAATATCTCACTCATTAAAACACGAGTACAGCACTGTCTTTGCAATAGATTACTTCTGTTCTGCTGCATATATCCTGTACAAAAAATAAAGGTGTTTTTTTAAAAACAATTTGTATATGAATGACTGATTTGAAGTTCAAAAAGAATAGGAATTTTTATGCACTCAGCAGGCCAGACCTTGCAGCTGAATCTTGCATTTGCGCTACTGCACCCACATGGAGACCAGAAAGCAGTGGGGCTGTTTTTGGGCTCTGAGAATGATCTGGTTCAGTGGTTCTCAACTCTTTGAGTCAGAGCATCCTCCATAACTTTTGAATTTGGTGACATCCTGGTTGAGAATCACTGTTGTGTTGCCTCAGTGCTTCTCAGCCTGGATGCAGTTAAAAGTGCCTGCTGTGCCGCATGCAAAACCAGACCAGAAGGGGCTGCAGCACACACATGCATGCCTGCCTACTTTAGGTTTATCTGATAAGCGGGTAAGTATACCCTTCATGCCTCTGCCTTTCCCAGTCCAGCTACATGCACTCCTCCTGGAAGCAGGTGTGCAGGACAGTTCCACCTAGTGACAGAGGCGATGTGACAGCTTGGAGATAGATGCCTCTATTGCTGGTGTCACAACCACATGGAATTGTCCCCCATGCCTTCTGTTTCTGGGAGGTGTGTCTTGGACCGGACCAGGAGGGGCTGTGGCAGGTGTTTGTGCTCTTGCCTACATTAGGGTTATTAGATAAACCCAGTGGAGGCAGGAGTGCCGGCTTCCATCACAACTTCTCCGGTTTGTCTGTAATATACCTGCTAGAAACCAAGGTGCACAGGAAAGTTTCATCTGGCTGTAGCCATGGTGGTGTCACCAGTGGTTTGGCACCCCTGACAGGTTGTCACAGTACCCTGTTTGAGAACCACTAATCTATGCAGATCCACTTCGAAAATCCGTCCTCACTTAATAGATTCTTCAACTACCTAATCCTTTAACAAAATAAGGCATTTTACAAGTAAAAAGATACAGACTATGAAAAACTATGAAAATCTATTTCCTAGTGTCATGGAGAAGGTATTTTGGTGAGTTAGAAAAAATACCAGATCACACTTTTCTTATAACAGACTCATTTCTGAGAGTTCAGTTTGAACCCGTTGGCTTGTGGCTCTCAAAATCCATCAGGGAATATTAGCACTTGTCTTTTGTCATTTAAAAAAAAATGTAAATTAATATTCAAACTTGTCTGTCATCCTCCGAGAAAATGAAAAGTAATTAAAAGAAAGTTCTGCAGCTCTATAGTGTCTCTGTACCCTCCTGTCTCAAGATGGTGTGAGAGGCAGACAATTGTAATAACTTGCTACTACTCTGTTCTAGTTTAATTTGATCTTGTTCCTTAATTTTGACAGATTGTTTTTTAGTTTTCCCATCTGTTCCATTAAAGTCTCAAGTGATTGACTCCTAGGAAAAATAATGTCTAATAGCTGATTCATTTTAATGAGTTGATGCAAGTTATTAAAATGTGATGCACTAAAAAAATCCAAGTAAAAGAGAGCTTGGGCTTCACTAGAGGCATAAGGCAATCTTGGAGGCAAGTGTATCCTTCAAGGAGTCCCTGCAGTCCCCTCGAACTTTAGATGGCTGCCTCAGCTTTTCAGGTGATTTTCACAGTCTTGTAGCCATGACTCAAAAGAAAGGAAGCTCATTAGAACAGCAGTCAAATAATGTTATTCTCATAGGGACAAAATCGTCATAAATCAGAGAAACTTCAAGCAGTAAAACAGGATGGCCACGGAAACTATAAGAACAGTGCACAAAACTTGAGACACCTAAAATCCTTTACAGATTCAGACGTAAGGTCTATTCCTCCATTAGTACACATTGGGCACTTCTATGCCTGCTATTAATTCGCATTAATAAAATACTGTGCAGTAAGCTTTCCCCTGGGAGCATGGGCGACTGATGCCTCCTGGCTCTGTGCGGGGGATGGGTCCCCCAGCAGCCGATCACTGACCCTGGGAGTGCTGCTGGCAAAACCAGAAGTGCTGCCGGCACTTCTCAGGGGGGCGGGGGGGCACCGGGAGGCACTCCCCAGCAGATGAGGTCCAATTTCAGGGGGGGCACATGCCCCCCCATGCCGCCCTATGTGACACCTATGCCCAGGAGCACCGTCTACACGTGCTCCCTGTTGGGAGCAGACCAGTACAGGGCTTCTCCTGTCCTGCTCTGTCCCCTTGCAGCAGCCAGGGGGAGCTCCCAGCTCCCCCTGGTGCTCACCTGGATCCTGGTAAGGGGCATGGGACCTGTTCCAATGCCCACAGGGCCAGGAGAGCTCTGCTGGCTTCAGCGGCATCTGACTCCTGGCCCCATGCACATTGGGAGGGGACCTGATGTGCACAAGGCCAAAAGACAGCTTCCCCTGAAGTGGGCAGAGCGTTCCTGGCCCCATGCCCATCAGGTGTGGGATGTGGGACAGATGCCGATGAGACTCCTACCAGGTTGGGGAGCACAGGGCTTGCTGCCAGCTGCCCTGCTTGGGTTCCCAGTCCTCACCTGCCCCCTGGAGCAGCTCTGCATGGCATGGAGGGGTCTCAGCCCCTGCTCACCCCCCAGAGCTGCCAGCTGCACACCAGAACAGGGCGCAGAGAGCTTCCCAGCCCCAGCGCTTATTGGCTCCTGGTTCATGGGGGAAGCCGGAAGCTGAGCAGCACCAGGACCAGAGACAGAGAGCTCCTTGTCCCCTGTGGCCCCTGCTGCTTTGGCTGATCAGAAACAAATTTGCTCCTGGTCAGTGTCTCCATGAGCACTACTGCGCAGTAACTACTACACAGGTAATCTAGTACCTATATTTACAGGTACTAGCTAACTGCATAGTAGACTAATTTACTGAGCAGTAGCTCTTACACACGGTTACATGGTAACAACTTACTGTGCAATTTAGTTGACAGTTCAGTAAAGCATCTCATGTAGATGCCCTCATTATTAGCAAATACCCTAATATTGGACTACAGATTCTCTGTATCTGTAATTAAAAATAATATTCATTCAATACATAATAACTCAAAAAGGCCTCACTGTAAAATCTCCTGCAGATGACATCTCCTGGGACATGAGCCATAAATATCCAGTAGAGACCTTTGGGCGTAGCAGCCATAAATGCAAAATGTTAACATCTGGACTCCCTACTCTTGATCAGTCCTTATGCACTGCTGTAATAAGCATGGTGGGTGTTTTTCATAAACATAAAATGTCACCAGACCCTTGTCAGCACCCTGTGAAAAACTGATTAAGTCAAGTCATAAGCACGAGTATCTACCATATCTCTCATTCAAATAATGCTGAAAGTTTGACTGCAGCGTGTAAATATGGCATTGTCAATATATCTTACTGTTTTGAAAACCTGTACAACAGATATATATAATAATAAATGAACTCACCAATAGCATAACGAAACTAGGCAAAACAAAACAGGTAGGATGTTAGGGTAATAAACATGGGCACCATCTTAGACACGGTATCTTAACATCTAAAATTGCTTTTAATTTGAGTTTGTACATAAGCTGATTTTAGGATGTGGTGCCTTTTTTAAGGCCCTCACTCATCAGAGGATCACAAACAGGAGGGTCTCTGCCTATGCAAAGCCCCTTAACGTCAGTGGTCTTTCTTCCAAGTGCTGGGATGTGATTCCAATGCGTCTCCCCTGATATCAGAAATCATTCAATGCTTTTAGAAGAAGCTTTTCCTCTTGTTATGTTTAATAACCAAATTCTAAGTCTTTTATTCGCTGAAAAAATTATTTATGTTTGAATAAGTTCACTTCTGGGGTGTGATCCAAAACACCTGAGCCAAAAGTCAGCGGAATCAATTGAGTTTGGCTTGGGCCCTTTTTTTGCATAGCAGCTTTAATAATACGCCTCATATACATTTATATAGTGAAAATTCATGAGGTGTAAAAGTAATAATGGTGTACTTATCCTACCTAGTGCATTAATCTGTGCTTTTCCCCTCTCTTTTAGCGTGTCAATCTTGATCTTTAACACTTCCCGGCAGTGTTTTGTTGTGGTGAAGCAGTTCCGCCCAGGTAATCTTTTCGGTTTTTTTTTAAATCTTTACTTTTGCTCTCAAATGAAACAAACTATCGAGGATTTAGCCATTAAAAGTTGTTGGTTCTATTGATATGTGTGATAAAATCATTGTTCCATATCTACTCCATTTTATTTTGGCCCCACTATTCAGTAGATCAGAATTCCTAAGCACAAGAATTGTGCTGCCAGGTGAAACCAGTGATTCAGCTAGCCCAGTATTCTGCCCTTGGCTTTAGCCATGGCCAAGCATCTCAGGGGATGGGGGACTAGCAAATATCCCTATACCAAGCAATTACAGAATAAGTTGCCTATATGGGAAGTTTCTTCCTAACCTCTTGTGATTATTAGACCACTTATGCCTTGCAACATGAGGTTTTACAATCCTGATTTTTAAAAATCTTATATAGAGCAAGGCTGTATATACTTGGAAATTGAAAGCAAGAATCACACTTAGGGGGAATATTGATACAAGTTGCATAAATATGTGGGAAGGTTTGTTTTATTCTGTGACACAAAGTAATAGTGGATTATTGGCTTTCTTCATTACAAAATGTATATTTCTAGTCTGAGAGGCAATCTATTTAAATTAATGTCAACCTTTTTGTATCAGTTGTTATAACTACTGGCAATATTTACTTTTTTGGAGGGTAAAAATAAAATGTATAATTCTGAGCATATTGTTTTATTTATCCATTTATTCATTTATTTATTTATTTTTAAGATGTCTAAAAGACTTTTTACTCTCTGTTGCTAAGAGACTGTTTCAAGACCATTTCGCTAGAAACTTTCTGGTGCAGCGTCTTACCATCCTCCCTTGCTGTTAGTGATTGACAAGCTGTTCAGTGTAAGGCAGCCCTATTACAATTTCAAGCTCATTCAGCGCACACTTGCCAATTCTAAGAAACAGAGTTTATTTATATGCGTATTTAAAATCCTATGTCTTTTATTTGCCAACCAAATACAAACTGCTTGTACGGCTGTTGCTCTCGCTGAGACGTTCATAGGCAGCTTTAACTGCAAACATCCTTGTATGTCACCTTTTTTTTCAAATGACAGAGTATGAAATGTACTCATGAGCCGAGGGCATAAAGTTCAGTTCTCCATATGAGCCTTTTAATATGCAAGGCAGAGATGGACACATTTTATCTTTGAATCAGGAGCAACGCATGATAAAATTAGTTTTGCCATTATGAATGTCAGAGATGTGGGGTTGTTTTTTTTCAGAATACATTTATTATATCAAGAGAAGAACAATAAGCCAAGTCAATATAAAAATAGGCTGTCCCTAGTCAAATAAAGCAGAGAAAACTAAATAAGTTGAATTCTATACATTATCTAGCCAAGCAGAGACCACAGCTATGCGGCCCCCCAGGACGGTCAGTTTTTGCTCAGTGTAGGGATCCCAAAAAGCCTGTTTGTTTTGGTGCTATAATCTCAGAGACTGGAGAGGGTCTTGAATGTGGTCAGGAAGTTGAGTGAATGATCAGTCAGACATTCAATGACAGCTACTGTCCACTGCCACGCCATCCAGAGCATTTATTCTGTTCAGATCCATTGCCCCTTGCCTGGTGGCACACAGCAATGCATAAATTAAGGGCTGAGAATCTCTGCATTCCCTTGTCAGACTGCCGGCAGAAAGGAGATACGGCACATCGCGTTTAATTACTAAGAGTGTATCCATTGTGCGTGTGGCTTGACAGATGAACTAGCCCCTTCTCAGATGGACCAGCAAGTCCGACCAGTTGACCCTTCTGGTAAAACAATGATAAGAAAGACTCCTGCAGTCATTTCCACGATGGGTCTCTGAAGACGCCTCCGTGGGGTAAAGTCAAGGCGTTGTTTGTTTCGGCAGGCGACTGACCATGCCTTTCCAAATATAATTAAATAGGAAAGACTCGCATTAGTACCACTAGACATATGCCATAGGATTTTCCAGTGAAGTATAACAGCCTTTTAGTGGGTTGTTTGTTGTTCCAGTGACTCAAAATAAATAGCACCAAAGACTTGACATACAAGCCATGTTCTGCTTCACAAGGTGCCCAGAGAATTGGTGCAAACATGAGAAATGGAAAGCTTAAACAGCAAAACTAGTTTCTTTCCCAGTCTGCTAAATTCCAGGAGTCTCTCCAAATCTGTACTGCTGTCTCCCTTTCTTCTGCTTTGGAGACTAAACAAGGCTCTTCATTTCAGTCACCTCGGAGAGCTTGTTTTGGGTAATAGTATCACCTGTTCAGCTGTCTTGCCTTTGGCCCAGCTGCACAGGAAGGAAGTTATTCAGGAGTTTCAACGCTGAAAGTTCAGAAAACATGATTAAATCCTGGATTGTTAATCAAGATTAATCGTGAACTCTCCATATTCTTGGAGCACTATGGCTGTATCAGGGCTGCTGCTCCGGGCCTGTGTGCATCTCAGCATTATCTTCAATATTTGCTCTAATTTAATAAATGAAGTGTCTACTTCTGTCCTAAATGTATTGCCCACCAATACCCAAAAGACTGATTTTCACACCACAATGGCATTAAACAGCAGCCCAATAAATCCTTGCGATTAGTTTCATGCCATTCCTAAAAGTTGCAAAAGCAGTAATCAGTGCCTAGTGTCCAAATGGCAGGTCAGACTGGAAAATTTTGGCTTAACCTGTGAAAAGCATTAGGACCTCAGAAGAATATCTCTTATTATACATGTTTCTGGCACACCTTACACATGCCAACTAGGTGGGACCCCTCACAACATGCCTTTTAGCTGCTTTTTTTTTTTTTAAGATGAGAAGGAGATTCTGGTCCTGTTGGTTGCCCACTTATTATAATATACCCTACTAGTTAGAGCCCTCACCCAGGAAGTGGGAGAGCCATATTCAGTACCATCAATACCCTGATGGGGTTCAAACTAAATCATTGATGGTCACTAAATCATTGGATGCAGGGGTAGCACTGGATATAGTCTTCCTGGACTTCTGGAAGGCTTTCGACACTGTCTCTCACCCCGTTCTCATTAGGAAACTGGGGGACTGTGGCGCAGACACCCACACAGTCTAATGGGTCGCCAACTGGCTAGAGAGCCGCACCCAGAGGGTGGTAGTGGATGGGTCCTTCTCGGCCTGGAAGGACGTGGGCAGTGGGGTCCCGCAGGGCTTGGTCCTCGGGCCCGCCCTGTTCAACATCTTCATCAGTGATTTGGATGAGGGGGTGCAAAGCACCCTGTTCAAATTTGCTGATGACACCAAGATGTGGGGGGATGTGGGCACAATAGAAGGGAGCAACAGGCTAGTCGGACCTTGACAGGTTACAAGGATGGGCGGAGGAGAACAGGATGGGGTTCAACACAGACAAGTGCAAGGTGATGCACCTGGGGAGGAACAACCAGCACCATAGCTACAGGCTGGGGAACTCCCCTCTTGTCAGCACGGAGGTGGAAAAGGATCTTGGAGTCATTATTGACTCCAAGATGAACATGGCTCGGCAGTGTGGGGAGGCAGCTAGGAAGGCCAACTGTACCTTGTCGTGCATCCACAGATGCATTTCAAGCAGGACCAAGGAGGTGATCCTCCCCCTCTATGCGGCACTGGTCAGGCTGCAGCTGGAGGACTGCGTCCAGTTCTGGGAGCCGCACTTCAGGAGGGATGTGGACAGCATGGAGAGGGTCCAGAGGAGGGCCACTTGCATGATCAAGGGACAGCAGGGAAGGTCATATGAGGAAAGGTTACAGGACCTGAACCTGTTCAGCCTCCAGAAGAGAAGGCTGAGGGGGGATCTTGTGGCCTGCTATAAACTAGTCAGGGGGGATCAACAGGCACGGGGGGAGTCCCTGTTCCCCCGAGCGCCGCCAGGAGTGACCAGGAATAACGGTCACAAGCTGGCGGAGGCCATCTGGCTGGGGTCGTTTGCCCCCGGTACTCTTTCCTGCCATGGCAGGGGGTCGGACTAGATGATCTTCCCAGGTCTCTTCCGACCCTAGAAACTATGAAACTATGAAACCCACATCTTCCAACTCCCAGGAGAGTGCTGTAATCTGTAGGCTAGTTTAGCACTCTCTAGCCCTCCTTCTGAAGGTGTGCTAGAAGCAGTGTGTGCAAAAATATTATTAAATACAGTGGCAAACTTTTTGTTTGGTATTTTGTAAATTTGTAATAGTGTTTTTCCCTAATATCAAAATATATTCAAAATAAGTGTGTGAAGATGAGAAACTACAAATAAAAGACAAATGGAAATGACATCTGTCAAAGTTAGAATGGTTTAAAATTTTTAATAGTGCTACTCTGTGTCTTAGCTCCCAGTCTTGTGAGCTTTAACAAGGCAAAACTATCGTTGACATCAATGGGACTTTTGACATAAAGACTGTAGAATCTGGCCCTTAGCATTTCCTTTAGGAGTGTATTACACTGACAGCTGTTTCTAGATTAATGCAAAAGGTCCTTTGCAAATTCCACTCAAGGATCTGTGCAAGGAACTATATGTTCAAAAGAGGATTTTTCAAACAAGCATACATGCTTTTCATAACCCTCTCCAAATAACAGCTGAGTTGACAGGCTGAAAGACTCATCATTGTACACTTGGTACATAATGTACAACCCAACTTCCCAGCAAAGATAAATGCGTAGTGGAAAATAAATCCGGATATTGGACAACAAATGGAAGTTGTTTTGAGCAGTAGATCTCTGGGTTGACCCAGCTATGCTTACTTTTAGCAATATGTATATGGTTTCCAAATCAATGTATGTAGAAACAATGTTCAGAAAGCCATTTTGAAGTAATGAAATTAAAAATTCAAGGCTATTTCAGTTTTGCCAAATAGTATAATTGTTTTTCCCATTACTGCCTCTCCATTGCTACTACCTAACTGCAGTTTCAGATCTAAACATTATCTAGTATGTGTGTACCTTCATGAGCACACATTTTCCAAAAAGTGTTAGAAGTCACATGCAGCAGTTGCTTGTGGGGTTAGTTACTATGGCCTATCACTTTTTTGTTCCAGTAAGAGAATTAATGCATTCAAAAGCATTATTTGTGAGTGCAAGTTATAGTATGCAAGAATTCTGTCAGTGTGATTTGTGTGTGAACATCAGTGGAAGCACCTTTTTAAATGCGTTCATCTCTGAGTTATGATGCTATTTGCTACCCTTGTTCCATTTTGCATGGCCAAATTATTTTTGAAAGGTACCACTGATGTTTTTTGCCATTTGAAGAGAAAAAAGAAGGCTTTTCCAAATCCATTTATACTTCTTTTTCTTCTACATTCTTTAGCTGTTTACATGTGTGAAATGGAAAGACACCAACCTCAAGACTTTCAACATAAAGACCAGGAGTGCTGGTACCCTGTAGCGAATCCCATACCTGCTGCATCAGGGGTAACCTATGAGCTTTGTGCTGGCATAGTAGACAACCCAGAACTGTCTTTGGAGGAAATAGCTTGCAAAGAAGTCCTGGAGGAGTGTGGCTATGATGTTCCCATTTCAGACCTGAAGAGAATCACTTCATACAGGTAAATAGCAGCCAAGATGGTGTTTTGTAGTTTGTCATTTTTAATTAGATTAATTAATACAGTTTACAATCTCTTTCCTGGTCTAATTAATAACAGTCTCTTTCATTGGCATTTATACCCTTCACACCCTTGTGAATGTCTTTTGTTTTTTTCATTTTTATAGGACAACTTTTGAAATCCCTTAAGTAGATTATTTTCCAAGTCATTAATTAGACCAGATATTGTAAACTGGTATTAATGGGGTAGAATTTGGACTTGGAGCTATCAGACTAGTGAGATCTATTCGCTAATCTAATAGTCCCAATGGAATTGGTGGAAACAACATTGTTGGAGGTGTTTAACATGAGAAATGATAAAGTGGTAGGAATCATAAGAAATAATTCTGTTGATTGATGCTAAGGAGGAAAAACCAACTGACCTGCATTTGGCCTTTTCCATATTTAATTTCTATTATTCTAATTCATAATAGGAGTTGAACAGTCTGGGTTCTAATTTTGTAGCAAGAAGGTTTGTACCACTGTTTTTGCAGGATCGGGGCCTTCATTGAAGTTTTTATGAAATCCATGTTGGGAGTTCTTGCTATCTCAGTAACAAAGAGTTTTACATTCAATCTTTAGCACCACTTAAAAAAACAATATAGCAATAAGAGGAGAATACACTTATGCTTATTGGAATGAAAAACCTCACAAATTAAATAATTTTATATGGAAATGTGCTTCTGGATTTAATGCCATTATATCTCCCACACAGGCTGTAGCACCATTAAAGGCATCTGTTACCATTATCCAAAATATATGTACAAATTTACCAAGAAGGCTGCAGAGTTTAGGTGGGGGTTGTTGTTTTTTTGGGGGTTTTTTTTTTACTTTCTTCATTTTTGTTTGACAACTCTATTGAACTCAACCCTGTCATTGGTTTTTAATTTGGGAATTGAATACAAATCCACAGCTGTCAATCCTGGCAAATGCTATTTCCTGCTGGATTAACAAGCAGTGCTTCTGTTGAGGTGGGGGGTGGTAAATCACAGGAGTTGTCTCTTGCAGTTCCTTGAAGATGGATTAGGGGTTTTCTCTACAGAAGAAAAAGAAAAAGCCCTTTCTAGATTTCTGAACAAAAGTTGTTCAAAGCATTTAGTGTTTGTGTGATGCTGAGAGGCTGCAGCCCCACAGATATAAAAATGGTTATGTTATTTCTGGTATAAACTCCAACTGGCTTGACATTCATGATTCATACCTGTTTGAAACATACGTTCTCTGATGGCAGACTTATTTTAATAGTAGAGACTATTTATTCATTGAGTTGCCTAGTTTTTCCTTGCAGCATGACTCCCAAATCAAGATCAAGGGTTAACCCATGCCTAATGGCCCCATTGAACTAAGCCTATCAATTAAGGCACCCCAGCTTCTGTAGCCAGTGGCACACAAGGGAGTGACATGGCTAGTATCACATCTGGTTACCTTTGACTCCCCAGCCTGAGTGACCATGGGTCTATATAAATTTGGGTCACCTGGGAGGAGCCTTTGGCATGAATTCAGAGCAGGGCTTGAACTCACTCCTCTGAAGTCATTTGGTCACCGCGCTCCTGACTTCTAAATAAAAGATGTCAAATTCAGCTTTTGTGATGTGACTTTACAGAAGGTGATTGATCTTTAAGTCCTGATCCTGCAGTTTAATGCATGCAGGCACAGTTTTCTGCCTGTGCAGAACTTCCTTGAGGTCAGTCAGTATCCAGACAAGTGAAGTGACTCCTCTCCATGGATCAAGTGTAGATTCAAGGCCTTAACAGTGAGATTTTGCTGTAAATTTCTTTTATTTTGGATTGGCCATTGCTAGTTTGTTGTTTTAAAGGAAATACCAGCTTATTTATGTGGCCTGTCACTGGAGTCTTTATACTGTGGCCTCTGTGTGGAAAAGAAGGATTTGATTCCAAATCCTGTGATTTTGCTCCCTTGCTAGGAGCATCTTCAGCTCCTCTTTGGGAGAAGGGTAGTTGCATCACTCGTGACTGTCCTGTTTGTTCTCCTTCATGCCAAAGGATGAGGACCCAGCAGGGCCATGCAGCTGCACGTGCTATCAAGGCAGAAAATAGAGGTGAGCTCTAGCTTCTGTCGGGGTTATCAAAGTCTGCTCAAGAGCGAAAGGACAATACCAAGCTAAGAGTGCCTAAAGAACAGAAAGTTTGTTCAGATGCTTGTGAAGTCTTAGAGGGGACTTGGTGGCAGCCTATAAATATATTAAGGACATATATCAGGGCCTGGGGGAGCATCTGTTCACCATGGCACCCCAGAGGAAGACACGAAACAATGGACTCAAACTGATTGAAGATTGCTTCAGATAGGACATAAGGAAAAACTTCTTCACAGTTCGAGTGCTGAGGATCTGGAACAAACTCCCCCCCCAGAGGTGGCACAGTCACCTACCCTGGTGGTCTTCAAAAAACATCTTGACTCCCACCTTGCTGGGGTCATCTGACCCCAGAATTCTTTCCTGCCCACGTGCAGCGGGGCTGGACCCGATGATCTTATAAGGTCCCTTCCAGCCCCTAACATCCATGAATCTATAAACACTGTCTGAAGTGTGTCCATGTCAACGCTAATACAAAGCACTGACGTAAGACATTACAATGGCTCCTGTGAGTCACATCACTAATTTTTGGATTAACATAAACTATGTTATCCAGATTTGTTATTACGATCCATCAACTCCACGAGTCACATCATAGTGGCTCCATTAACAATCCAATAGGTGAGGTCGGTGTTTCCTATTCTACACATTGTACGGCCAGTCCTTGCTTCAGTGTTCTTTGGATGTATCACAGTACATAAGCACTTCCCAGGCATGCGCATGTAGAATTAGTTTGAACCAAGGGAGAAGGACCTGGACATAGAGGAAACAAGATCAATCTAAATTTTCTTCTCTTGGGTGGTTTGAATCAAGTACATAATGAAAAAATCGAATATTGTTTGCATTTGGTTTTGTGAGCAAAGCCAAGAAATTCTGATGGTATCAACATTGGGACCTCGTAGTTTATTAATGACCAGAGAGTGACTGTGTAACAGTGACACCTCCTGATAGATAATATGACAACTATTGGGGTTGTGGCTGTGGCTCACCTGATAGTGCTGGTAGGGCAGCAGCATGGTGTGGGGTTTCTTCTTACTCCCCTGCTGAGGTTCCCTGTACCTCCCTGCAGGAAGAAAGGGAATGAGAGGGAAGGGTTGGAGAGTGGGCAGAGCTGTAACTTTGCCCTTTCCCTTCTCACAAGCTGACCAGTGCAGTTTATGTGGCACAGAAGAGAAAGTAAATAGCTGTTCCAGCAGTCTAGGAGCAAGGGTACTCTGGGCAGTTAGTAAGAAATCAACCTATGCTTGGGGCAGCAGGCTGGATCTGGCCCACGATCCCAGGGGGTGTCAGTGGCAGGGGTGGAAAGGAGGTTTACCTACACCATGCCACAGCAGGGTGGTGGGGGCTTTGCCTACGCAGTGCCATGGCTAGCCTATGCAGAGCTTCCCCCAAGCCATGGCCAGGTGGCAAGGAGAAGCAGTGGCAACAGTCAAGTCCTAGCATATGCTCACTTCAGACTTGAGCTGGGTCATTCCAGCTGACTACTAGTCTATACCTGTACCTTAATACTATTATAGGAGGGGCTTTATTGTTATTTTCATCATAAAGGCCTGTTTTCAGTTGCCCATAGCTTTTCCACACACGAATTATTGGGGCAGAAATGTTCTATGCTGTGTGGGGGAGAGATTGTTTAGTTTTAATTTTTGGATGGTGGGGAAAGGGAGAAGAAGAATGGACATTTCAGGCAAAAAACAATTCAGTCGTTTCTAAGACTGAGAAGGTAGTGAAAAAATCCTGTTTTGCCCATGGTGAAAACATTCTGGTGCCATTTTTCTCTCTTTGAGAAGCTCCATTGACCCCAAGTTCTGGAGCCAGGTCACAAATTTGGTATGCATTTGAGGTAACCTTTGTGTCAGGGATGTACCATGGTGCTCTGAAAAGATTCAGACAGATTGAAAACCTGTAAAAACCATAGCTCCTTTATCCCATGCAGACTGGGTAAAGCTTTACAGCTGAGAACTCGGACAATTCTCCCCAAATGTAACCCACCTGAAGCTGAATACATCTTTCACAACAACTGCAAGTGTGGGTTGTAGCATGCCCCACTGGGCCTGGATACTAAAACAGTCTTTCTTGTGTTCTCAATGGCTGCTAGCACCAAGGAAGTAGGGAGGATGCTACTTGATTTTGAATGCAAAGGGACCAACAAGTGCATCTGAGTGGGGATGGGTGATGGATCTAATGAGAAGTTGGCTTGGACACGGAGAAGTAGACTCACCCTAATAGAGCTGGGGACTGGCTGTCACTTGGAGCCAGGAAGACCAGCAGAGGTATCATGGGGACACTGGGTGCTCCTAGGATTGTATATAGACTGTGATCAGATGAGGAGCTAGAGGAGGAAACTGAGACTCACTAGACAAAGAGATTGGGAGTAGAGGTTGGGAACCACTGGGGCTGGGCAAGGAGGAGTGATTTATCTGACAAGGATATGAGTTACATGGAGAGAATTTGGGAAGTCTGGAAAAAGAGTCTAGAAGAAATCAAATGAAGAGTCCAGGGAAGAAGAGTGGAAGCCAATGGACACAAGTGAGTAGCATGATGGATACAGGGTATCCGGCATGAGCCAATTGGAACCAGTTACTGTACTGTGCAGAAGTTCATGTAATCTAACGCAGATCTATCACAACTGTGACCTCTAAATGAAGCAGACCTCTATCAGACACCTTGACCCAATGCCCCATTCCTCTTTAGGTCACTAAGTGTTACTTCTGCATTTTAGGCATTTAAATGTAGATACATAAGTGACACTTAAGACCACTGATGTGTGTTTTAGATAGTTCTCCCCATTACGCAACGTGTCTTGGCCTTCTGACCATGCTCAGAAGGAATCTGCTATGGCCACTTAGGCTCTCTTGTGATGTTGTTCTCCCTGCAGA